CAGATTTTTTGTAGCCATTGTGGTCGCTACTAGTTATACAGGTTTTCTGACACAATTCGCAATGTGTCTTATAATTATTATATAGAACTGATCAAATTAACGAATCATTTTTGGTCCAAAATATCGTTAAAGACTGAACTTTCTGTATAATATAACTGTGAAAATAGTAATAAATCTTATGAACTCACAATTCATGCACTTCAAAGAGCACTTTAAAAAAGAACGGCATAGTTCCAACGGTTTTAATACCTCACACCTTGATAGCCTAGATAAAATCCTTGCATCGGACATATAATGTTACTTTATTTATTGAAAACAGTACCTACAAACGATTGAAGAAATTGACTAGTGGAAGAACTTTTCCACAAGCCTTTTGTATTTTACTAAATGTACTTATCTAAGCAGCAGCATGTAAGTTAGATATTGTACTGATTATTATTACGATGCATAGCGTAAACCGGCGATATGCATCAGGCAGTGAGAAAAAAAAACAAGTAAACATTATTGATATCTGCATCTTGCCATGCCATCACATTTCGCGCAAAGCAAACTTTGATGTTGCCTATTTAGTCCAAGTTTGGTGCGAAAATATGCAAAGCCCGATATAAGATATATTCAATTATGCTGTCAAAATGATCGATCGAAATATAGACTAGTTAGTGAAAATTCGGGACATTTGGCGTCCCGATTCATCATTGATCGGGACAAATCCCGCACAAATCGGGACACTTGGCAACACTAGCTTATGCTATCGGTGTGAATTAACACGTACGCAGGCTGTGGCGGGGAAAAAGTGATACGTCCTATCACTTTTTTTCCCGCCACAGCCTGCTATTTTTAAAATAATCATAAAATAATTGACTAAATAAACGAGCTAAAATTTTTTGTGGATATTTAACATTACCTGTATTTTGATAAAATAATTAAAATAGATAAGTTTATATCCCAATACACGGAAAAATGACATTGAAGTGGACAGTTTTGGTGATTTTATAGTAAGGTTTTTTTAATATTAAATCGAAATATTTTCGTAATTTAAGCTTTGCTATACACTAAAAGTCTATATATTCTATTACAATAATGTTTAAAATAAAGTATTTTAGCTTATAATCATGGTTGTATTCCACCTGAAAGATAACTCTGACGCATATTTTCGTAAAACACTATGAAGGGATTGTCTTTGGTCTAAAAAACCGTCATTAAAACTATGATTTTCCGTTGCAATGTACTAAATAAAGACTATCTTTCTAAATCCGTAATTTTCTGCAAATAATTTGCTCACATCGCATCGTTACGATATCGCCCTTGAAAAACCCTAAAACATGAAGTTTTTGCCGCAAATGGCATATGCCCTCTTAATTTTGATGATTTTACAAGATGGCGCCTTTCCAGTCACAAACGTCACGTCTGACAAGTGACTTGAGCCATAAAATTATGTAGGTGTACTCGCGGCGTAAGCTGAGCTTTGCATTTGTTTGAGTGATCACTAAAAGTACAGTTAGTAAAAAATCTATGTTTTATTAAAAGTTAATGCTGATATTTTGATTATCCTAAATTATAGTAATAACAGTAATAAACTACATAACAATTCTTCTCCGCTCATTGCATGTTCATCTTCACTCTCGTCTGATGACTCATCAAAGCCTGTGTTAATAATGAATCGCTCCGATAAACCGTCGATAGCGGCGTCTCGACCATCAAATGCTTTTTCTTCTTTAACTGCATGGTCACAAACATTTTTCCACTCTTGTACAGTGATCGCGTCAACTTTTTCCTTTGTTAATCTCATTATAGTGTCCATATTCATTGACACGTTTTTTTTAGCTACGTGTCCTTTTACCATTGCCCATATATTTTCAATAGGATTGAAATCAGGGTGGTAGGGTGGTAGACGTAGAACGCTGTGACCATGTTCTTGGAGCAAATTATCAATTTTATATTCAAGAAATCTTGATTTGTTTTGTAGTATCAACTGATAAAGTTGTGGTTTAAGCATCGATCCAGAGTGATCGATATTTCGATATTTGAGCCAATCAATCATAGCTTGTTTACGATGGTTTGAATTGGGCGCGGGATTTTGATACGAATTGTGGTATGATGCATTGTCAACCACCACAACACTATTCGGTTTTAAATTTGGAATCAGCTGCGTTTACAACCATTTTGTGTAATTTTCGGTATTCATATTATAATGATAGTCACCACTTTTTTGGTTTGCCTTGAACATGAGTAGGGCATTGGGTATGAAACCGTCCTCTCCGCCGGCATGAACTATTATTAACCGATTTCCCTTAGAAATTGGTTTCTTCAAACCAGAGGTGCTTCCATCTGAATAAGATTTCGACGAAGTGTGAGACGTGTCTATATATGTTTCGTCAGTATAAACGATTGGGCGGCCCTGAGCGCGATATTCGGCAATTTTAATGAGAAACATTATTCGAAGATATCGTATTTCATGTTTCTCCATAAGGATTCTGCGATTATCTTCTGTCCTTTTCCACTTGAATCCTAATAAAGATACTTCTTTTCTTAATGACGTAATTGCACCTGGATAATTTATTTCTGCCTTTAACTTTTCGTGTAATATTTTCATAGTGGGAACCTGTTGTCGGTGATGTGAAAGTTATGAAGTATTCTCCGAATTACCGCTTTATCAAAATCATCAATCACAATGATATTTTTCCTGCATCTTGTTTTTTTCGGAGATTTAAATTTGCTTCCATCTTCCAAAGCACATTTACCTTCTAATAAAACCTCCTTTACAGTTGACAGCGGAATTCCCGTCGATGTCGCTATCAATTGGGCCGACGTAACGACACTTGACATATCTTTGTCGTTTAAATCTTTGAAATACGTATTCAATTTGTATAAAATTTCTTTTGTTTGGCTGCTTAATGGTCGTTTAGTCAATTTACTTACAGTAGGAGCCAATTCACAAAAAATTCGAACACAACCACAAAAAATTACACGTCTATGATGCGCCGCGCCTCAGGCCGCGTTTTAAAAACCAGTATAAACTAGTTTAAACCATGCGCGGGACGCGCTGCGCCTCAAGCCGTATCCCACTGTACACTATCTTTGTGCACTCACACAAATGCAAAGCTCAGCTTACGCTGCAAGGACTGTAGTGTGATATGTTTTTGTTTATACCGAGCTCCTGGATTGCATCGATATAGATATGCAAATATCAACAAGAACGTTACTTGTTCCAAGACTGTAATAGGACATCCCCAAGTTTCGAGACATTTTAGCCATTGCACATAATAAATCTATCTGATAGGCTATCAGTGATAAGAATAACACAGCATTTCAGAATTCAAATATCTGTCAATAATTTGATCAATAGCCTCATGACCGTTGACAGCTTACGTCAAAAAAACATCAATTCGCCTTTAGTGTTGCAGTTTTTGGTAAAAATAAAATATTAATACCACTGAAAAGTAAGAGTAGTGTCCCCCATACAGATATAATCGATAGAATTTACTCAAAAATTCCTATCTTACAAGCCAAGTATGGTAGGATCCCAAAACAATTTGTATTCAATAAGAAGTACAGGATACAATTGAAGGAAACTGACCATCTGAAAGGATTGGGTCCAAGAGAGCTCAAAGTTTTCACGGATGGCTCTAAGACAGATGAAGGTGTGGGGTCTGGGGCTTTCTCTGAAGACCTTAATATCCACATATGCACACCGCTGGGTACCCACAACACAGTCTTCCAGGCTGAGTGCATGGGTATCATCCAAGCGGCCATAGCAATAGATGCTAGGAAGGTGAAAGACTTCTTCATCAGAATACTGACCGACAGTATGGCGGTACTACAAGCTCTGAATTGCAATGTGACGAACTCGGGACTGATATACGAGTGCCATCAACGATTGAATGAGGTAAGTAAGCACAACAATGTGACTGCAATGGATCAAGGGACACAGTGGATCTAGAGGCAACGATGCAGCAGATGAACTGGCCAGAAGGGATCGGCTCTGGCAACTATAGGGCCGGAACCAATAATATCAATCCCCTTTTGCTACGTTCGTTCACTGGTACGTAGATACTTCAGTAATTTACACGCTCAGCTTTGGAAAAATTTAGTAGACTGTAGACAAGCTAGGGAGGCCCTACCTGAAATAAACAGTCGTCTAACCAAGGTATTAACAAACCACAGATCAGGATAGTAACAAGTGCTATCACAGGACATGGCTCTTTTAACAAATATTTGTTCACCATAGGTGTTACTGATAGCCCCCTGTGCAGGGCATGCATGGGAGAGGAAGAAACGGCGGCTCACGTGTTGCTGACATGTCCAGAAGTCGCTTCATACAGGTCTAAACATCTCGGCACGCCGGGATCGCTCCCCGAAGTTGCTTGCAACATCAAGGGACTGCTGAGCTTCTTCGGGGAGATATTATGGCTCGAATAACCATATTATTCCTGCCCACACGCAAAATACGCGCTTAGACGTGGAGTTGCGGAAAACAGCCCGTCGTAAACTAAACTAAACCAACTACCACTGAAATAAAGGCAAATTCGTGGATTTGAATCACCAAAAGTATTATAATATATTATTACGCTTCATACAATTTCGGACCGTCTCCTTTAGAAATAACATTTTAACTACAATTACTCCTTTACAGATAGATGATTCTGTGCCCCAGATAATTAATACTCGTGTTCTTAAGCTAATTAAGTATTAATTTAATAAAAAATTTAGACTGAGGACTATTATATACAGGGTTACGGGTCATATCGACCTAGATTCTTTTGTGGGTATGGTGACAATTATTACAGACTGATTTGACTATAAAACACCATACCCAAAACTTAACCGCTTTCAAGATATTGGATAATAAAGTTTTTTTAAAGTTTGCAATTTTTACTCTATTGTACTTTTTTTGTAATCTGTGCATCTAGTTTTTTTAATAAGTTTTCCTAATTGTGTCTGTGTGCATAGTATTCTTTAAGAAACTAAAATATTATCTTTGTTTTTTCTTTACCTAAAAGATGGAGCGTAGAGATCGAATGGATCAACTTTCCCGAGACGAAATATCTCAATGGCGGTGGACACGAGCGGACGAAGAAGCTTTCCGGCGGACCGTCGCGTCGTATGGTGTCGAGTTCGATCCAGCCACAAAGAGCTTACGCTGGAATCGGTTCCGATCATTAGCACGATTGGATTCGAAGAGCGATGATGCTTTGACTGATTACTTGAAAGCATTTATGGCTATGTGTAAACGGCAGTGTGGATTATCCGTTGGCGAAGCGGAGTTACCTACAAGAGCCGATCTTAAAGCCGAACCTATTGGTGAAGAAAGAGCTATAGCCACTTTGGAAAGGTAATATTAATATTATATTTGATAACCCCTGATTATTTATAGCTCTAGAATTGCTCTATTAAATAATATAAAGAGGTCCTACCACCTAAAACACCCTTTCTCCTCACGGTAGGTCGGCCAGTATATATATATATATATATATATATTACACACAATATTTATTATACGTCCTTTCATTTCGCATTATTGTAGCGTCCACCACTTGTAGGCAATTTTTATACATTATGACATCGAATATTGGTCCATTAAACAATTTCAAAGATAGTGTTTAACTCATTTCTTTGAAAATTTACCATATGCCGATATACAAATATTCGTATATTGCCAGACGGAGGAAAACCGATCAGGACTCCCTTCCATATTACAAATTATCCAGAATCCCCGTAATATACATAGTTTTTAATTAATTCTCTTGCTTAACGCAATTCGTTTGTTTGGTGCGACGTTGCCACTCTTATTAGTTATTCCGCTTTGTAATATTTTATTTATAGTAGGTGATATATTGTTTATGTAGGTATTCGATAGATTCCTATAGTCTGTTTTTTTCGCAGGAGACAAAGATAAGAGATCTTTATTAGATTCGTTTAGCACGAATAATACAGTTTTTATGATTCTGGTTCAGATTAGATTAAATTTTAGTCACTTAAGTTTCGTATATTGTTCAAAATAATGAAATAAATTCACAGAATGTATATATATATATATATATATATATATATATATATATCAAAAAAAATCGACCCACTCATTTTTTGTTTGAAATTTATCGATTGTTTCACTTAAAAGCTGTTTCACACATTTGTTTTTTATAATGAGGGTCGGATATGATGTTTGACACCTTGTTTGTCGTAAATCTTATTGCAGTTGAAAGTACTTTACAATTTTTTATTAAGAAATACTGTTGAGTGCTGATTTCGTTGTTTTACGTCAGAACAAATTCGAACCGTTATTTCAGTCCGACACAGACTTTTGTAGGGATTTCTCGTTAATAACGTTTATTTACTGAGGCTGCAGCTGTGATAACTTTGTCTAAAAATAATGGACACTACTGAAGCTGAGGCGGCCCAAGTTGTGGCTTTGCTGCAACAAGGCTTAAGTCAACGTGTCGTGGCCAGGAGGTCAAATCTGAGCCGTTCTGCAGTGCGACGAGTTTACCAAAGGTTTCTGGAGACTGGGCAGTATCGAAGAAGATCTGGATCTGGAAGACATAGGGTGACAACTCAAAGGGATGACCGATTTATAGTGTTATCAGCTCTACGAAAACGGCACCTATCTGGTGTTGATCTCCAGCGACGCTGACGTGAAGATCGAGGTGTAGCTATAAGTGATAGTACTGTGAGAAGGAGACTTTGTGAGCAGAATTTAAGACCTCACAAGCCAGCAACAAGACCACAATTGACCACAGCTCATCGACAAGCCAGACTTCAATTTGCGCGTAACCACATCAACTGGAATATAGGCCAATGGGAGTCAGTTCTTTTTAGTGATGAGAGTCGAATGACTTTATACGGTTCTGACGGACGCCGTAATGTCATGCGTCGACCAGGTGAACGTTATACCCAGTGTTGCATAAGAGAAACTGTCAGTTATGGTGGAGGCTCTGTAATGTTTTGGGCTGGGATATCTTTGACTGGACGCACTGAGCTGGTTTTCATACGAAGAGGTGCTTTAACTGCAGCACGCTACATCACAGAGATCTTAGAAGACCATGTGGTGCCATACGCCGGCTATATTGGAGAGACCTTTGAATTAATGCATGATATGCACGACCACACGTAGCGCGCATCACAACCGATTACCTTGAAGAGGTCTGCATTCGGGTTATGTCGTGGCCAGCAAGAAGCCCTGATCTCAACCCTGTAGAGCACATGTGGGACACCCTAAAACAAAAGGTTAGAGCCCGTAATTCAGTCCCTACAACATTAGGAGACCTTGAAACCGCCATTAGGGAAGAATGGAACCGAATCCCTCAAGAGACCATCAAAATCTTGATAAGGTCATTAAAACGGCGAATGCAGGCTGTCATTCGAGTAAGAGGACATTTGTGTACAACAACAACAATTGTGTACATAAAATTCAATACATAAAAACTAGAGCGTATTGAAAATTAATAAAAATAATCGTGAAAAATTAAAGATTTTGGTTTTTAAATGAAAATTACTTTCAAAAAATCATTTTGATGTTGTAACTGTGATTAAATTGGTGTCAATAAACAAGTTAAATAAAATATTTCAGTACTTACACGTTTTGATTGGTTCTGCTTTAGAAAAACGTGATTTGGCAAAAACGCAGGTGGGCCGATATTTTTGATGGCTAGTATATATATATATTTGTACTATTTATTTCTGTAAAATGTATATAATAATGTCCTCCAGAGTGAATTGTGCCAAGTGCAAGCACAGTAGCACTATTCCCTCACACTCATGGTCCGATGGGACGGTAACCCAACACAACAAAAACCCAAGGAGAAATTTTGCGCAGGACCAACGGATTTACGTGCTTTCCGAAACAAGGGGGAGAAAACACCGCCAATCTCCTGACTCCGAACTGCTATTGAGAATTTGGACCTACCTTGGATTTGAACCCAGAACCTCATGATCAGCAACCGCGTTAATGACTATTAGACCTAAAAGGTTGTTACAAAAAATAAGATCTATAAACATTCACGTAAAAGAACATACAGCTGGCGTGAAGCACCATCCCCCGCACTATTTACATCAGATTTGATAAACCACATTATCCTCGCTATAGAACACCGATTCCAACCAAGGAGAGAATCACGTCAAACATCTTAACGCAAAAAAAATTCAAACAAGCAAATTAATAACTGAATTTGAAAAATAAATAACATTATTGTCTTAAATATAAAAATTGATTTGAAGTCAAAAATCCTATTAGGTTGTATTTATAAATATTCAAAAACAAAATGTATTTATCGCATAATGAGTGTACTATCACATGTTCGATTTTTAGTAATTTATTAAGTAGGTATTATAGTATATTATATTTCATTGTCAACAGAACATTTATCAGATTAACATATGATGATGCAGTTATATTATGGTTGTAGTACATAATACCCCTTCTCTCACAGGATACCCTTTTTACTGGAAATCTAATGCGCGCATGAGTTTTGGCTGCCCGTAAATTGTTTCGATCTACTGCTGCGTCACGACTGTAGGTATTTACTACAATATCTGAATGTAGTAAATAGCTGCTACTTTTATATTAATTTAAAAAAATGGTTTAGCCTAACCGCAACATTGAATATCAAGTTTAGCCAGTGGTAAAGTTAGAGAGTAGTATGGGTATGTATGTGGGATATGGGTGGCAGTGTAGCATTTTATTGTAACGCAGGATCGACCTGCTGCGCGTGCTGCGCGAGGAGGTAGCGCCGCAGCCCGCGCTGGAGGCGCGCCTGGCGCTGGCCGAGCGCTCGCGCGACTCGCCGCCCTGGTGGCAGCCCGCGCGCCACGACAAGCTGCTCGTGCTCGCCGTCTGCAAGTCAGTACCTTACACTCCCTACACACCCTGCATACCCTACACACAACCTTTGCTATTCTCAGCGCTCACACGCACTAACGGTCAAACGCTAATACGCATAACCTCTTATCTTTACGCAATCCGATGTCTAGCACATAGGTCTCCTATAGCAGGGACCAGAAATTGAATTTATAGCTGACTTAAAAAAAAGTTGTTCACAATTCGACTGTATATTGTTGTATCTATAATACGATATCTTCATCAATTGTGAACTAATTTTCATGATGCTTTTTTTATTAAATAGGTTATATTTCACCAGTGGTCACATATCCTCGTAAGGCCCAAGAAAATTTTTGCTTAGTTTAGATTACGACCCGAAGGTCCTTAAAAGGATCAAATTTTATTGATGTTCAGACCCAAACAAAAAGATGCAATGTTTTCTTTTGTTGTAGTTTTTATTTTAAATATAGTTTATTAGTGGCTTTATAACTCACCAAAGGACCCATTTGTAAAGTATAGACCTCATATCTTTGGTTCTTTGTAAAGGCCTTTGGGTTAATACTAGATAAGTAGGTACCAAAAATTTACACTATCTGTAGGACTTTGGTTTGTAACGATATAAATAAAAACACAATTTTTATGAAGAAATTCAACATTTATTACAAATTTAAACAATAATACTCTTCATAAGAAGAAGATACTGAATGCATAAAATTGCTAAAGTTATGCCAATATATAGATATATGCAATTCATTGGTAGTGAGACCAAGGCACTTGCCATATTTTGATAAGAAAGTTTGATTAGTTTTCAATACTATTAGCTTCATTATGTCCTCATCGATATAGAGCTGAGCAGTAAATGAATCTGCATCAATCGGTAGTATGAGGGTTCTATACGCGAAATAACGCGGATTAAAATTCTTCATTGACCACTCACAATGTCTCACATCAGATGAAGATGACGCTGGCACGTTCCTATTATTGGTTACCCTTCGCGATGTAATTCCGCGTGAACGTCGCATGGCTCCACGTTGTTGCATGACACGATCTCGTCCTTTCTTTGTAAAAAAGGTGCGGGAGTCATATCTTTGTCGGAAAGTTCGGACTGAGAATTTGAATCACTTGATTCCAATACCGATCTCTTGACACTCGAGGACCCTGAAACTGACAAATCTTTATCTCGTGATAACACACTGCCCGTGTGAAATACCTGCCATCAGCCCATCATAAATTTCATTGATAGCTGCGTCATCGTCAAATTCAGAAACAATTTCATTTTCCCCTGAAAAAATTAATTTTTTTGTTAATTAAATATAGACTAGAAACAACAATAATATTTGGTACTTACCTAAATAAATTTTCAAAAAAAGTATTTTAGTTTAACTCATTAACTTAACGTGCACTTCATCTTAAGTAAACATAATAACCCAAAGACCTTTGTATAGGTGTAACATAATACGGGTTTTTTGGTATAAAAGCCCGCGGTACTTTTTAAAGTATCAAAAAGTTTGGTTTAATTAAAAGCATCATTTTCGATAGTAAAATTAAAAAAGTATTTAATTTAATTACGGAAAACATATAGCCACACATATTTTTGTATACGAAACCCTGATGATATGTGGACTATGAGAAAGTCTTTGATTCCGTCGAAATTTGGGCGGTGCTACATACAGTCTCTTCAGCGGTGCCAAGTTGACTGTGGTATATCGAAGTGCTGAAGTGTTTGTACAGTAGAGCTACGATGGCTATCCAAGTACAGAACCGGAGTACGAAACCTATCCAAATGCGTAAAAAAAAGGTGTAAGACAGGGTAACGTTATTTCCCCGAAACTCTTCACTGCTGCATTGGAAGACGTTTTCAAGCTACTGGACTGGAAAGGATACGGTATTAACATCAATGGCGAGTACATCACTCACCTTCAGAGAATATACAAACTTTTAGACAAATAACATTACCTTCACAAGGTGATACTGCTGACTGACGAATGAGCCCTCGACTAATAGTGGAAAATTTAAAAAGCCTTGAGCCCAATTTTTTTATCTATAAAAGAGTATAAAGAGTTACAAAAAACATACAGTCCACCTGATAGTAAGTGGATACTGTGGCCCATAAACATCTCGGAACTACGGAATCCATCCGTAATTAAGAATCAAAAAAAAAGTTTGTGATCACTAGTATAAGCTGATATTAATTTATAAAATTTAACTTTATCAAGAAAAAGTATTTACGTTATTACTTTTTTTTAAATATAAATACACTGTTGGAAATTAAAAAATAAAACTTTTATTTTTTGTAACACTTGAACTGCCATCTGTCACGTTTTAGATGAAAAGAAAAATATTGTTTAACTAAACTTACACAACAATTTACTGATAGAAGATTTTCATTTAATACAATAGAACTCCTTTCCTGGCTCGAACACATGCGGAGATCCTGCTTGGCATGCTAACGATCAAGTTATCCAGCATTTCTTGTGATTATCTGTCCCATTCTTGAATAGCGGCTTCGCTAATCTCTGGTACTGTCTTGGGAGGTGGCTGACGGTTCCAAACAACTCGCATAAGAGCATCTCACGCGTACTCTATTGGGTTTAAGCCAGGCAAGTAAGTCTGAATTTGTGATGTCGTGTTCACGGAGAGCACCTTTGACTCGTTGAGCTCAATGTGCAGAAGCATTATCATCGACCAGTACGAACTTGTGCCCGTGATTTACTTGGAATTATCTGACAATTCCATCAATATCAACAATTCTATCAATAGCGACTGTTTTGTACCTATCTGCCGTCATGCAGCCTCGATACGGGATCAAAGGCGTCATAATTCCACCTCAAGAGGACACCGATTTCCCGTCTCTCTGAATGGTTCCAGTGGTAGTTCTTTGCCTTTCAGAGTCTCCAGATCTTCTCCAGACACGTCGGTTATCTAAATCATTACTGATTTGCGATTCATCAACGAAACGACAGTTTTGTCAAACGTTTTCCTCCTCATCTTCTTCATTTTGACGAAGCCTAGCCTACTGCAATCTCCGTCGCTGACGGTGCCGTGAATTTAGAAGTGACACAAGACCTCCGTGCTCGTAGTCCAGCCTGGTGTATGCAATTCCGAATAGTCTAAGAGTGCTAACTTCAAGTCCATAACGGCCAGCAATTCTGTTTTTATTATAATGGCGTTGATTGTTGGGTCTCGGGCTGCCAGCAATCTGATATAGCGCTTCTGAGCAGCAGTAAGAACAGTTAGGCGATCACTGCGGGGTCGGTCAGCTAAACTATCCATGCCGTGGTACCTCTGCAACATGACCACCACACAGGATTGGAATACAGCAAGTCTGCGTGCTATTTCTCTCGAGGAATATCCTTCTTCTCTCAAAGTTACAATTCTTGCTTTTAAAACTTCTGATATCCTCTTGGCATTTTTTAAATAACAACTTTCCTCGAAAAAATATTTTAAATCTGTTAAAATTGACTAAGTCAGATTTCTGAATGAGCGTAAGCTTATATTTCATTTTCTTTTTATATGGAATAGTTTGAATTTGTTTTATTGATTTATATTCTAATTCTATATTTTTAAGTAAAGAATCTAAAAAGAAGAAGAAATTAAAATATAGTCTACCGTAACAAAAAAAAAATGATTTTGCAAACTTATAGCAAACTTATGAATCATCTATGTTGTCATCCCTGAGGCTAAGATTGAGTGCCTCTTTTCCCTTAAAAAGGTCTTCACACGCTTCGCAAGACTGCTGATTGCACATAAGGCTACTTCCCAGCTTTATCACTGAGAGTGTAGGCTCACTAAACCGTCTGCTTAGTCTTGTATGGGCAAATCTTCCAAGTATTGGATGTCAGTCTGGTTAAATCTTGTTCTAAAATTAAAAGACCTTTACTTATTTATTGAGAATAAGTTGATAAACTTAAATCGGAAGCAAATTTATTATTATCATATTTAAAAATTGAAGCAATAATATTCTAAATCAATTCACATTAATAAATAACCTCTTATCTGATTTTTTGCAGGCATGGACTTGGTGATACCTTTAATAAAATCTTCTGTGACCCCAAATTACCTTTTGCGGATTGCGCAAGAAAATGGCAATCGCAATATAAACCCAGCAACAAAAAGGAGTCCGAAAAATTGTCTTCAGATGAAGAAGAGAAAAATAATTTAGAGGGCACTAATGAGACGCGAATGTCTCTGCGCCGTAGCAAGCGCACCTCAAATGTCTGTGACCGCGACAATGAAGAAGATATGGATGCTTTAACTGAGTTAGAAACCTTAGCGAAATTGGGTAGGGTGGAGGAATCTTTATCAACAGACCTCTGGTTTTCGGAGAGAGCATTAGAGACAAGACTGCACCACATTGCGCACGCCGTACAAAATTGTGAGTGGCCATCGACAACCATAGCCCAAAAGAGTGGTGAAAGTAACAGTTCACAAAATGAAGCATTAGATGAACGTAAGCAGAGCCAGAAACGTCACATAGCTATAGATGTAGAAACGGAGCGAGCGAAATTGCACGCTTTGCTGTCGTCACCCCAAGCCGCGCATACTTCTAATCGGGAGGCGCACAGGGGCAGTGGTTCGAGTGTCAGTGTGAGTGCGAGTGCGAGTGGGGGCGCCTGTGTAGGGGACCGAGACGATGCGTCCAGTGACTCGGGCTCGCGGCGCTCGACGCCGGCACCGCCGCCGGCGCACCAGCGCGTGGCGCAGTCGCCAGCGCCCGCCGCGCACGCCGCGCCCGCCGCCTCGCCGGCGCCCAGCGCGCCCGCCGCTTCGCAGGCGCCTGTCGACCTCTCCGCCCCGCTCGATCTCAGCGAGGCGCAGGACTTCTCTCTGGGCCGTCGCACGCCGCAAACCAGCGAGCCGCCCGCCCCCACTCCAGTTCCAGCTGCGAACACCGCAGCGGCCGCAGCCGCAACACCGCCACGCAGCAGGCTCGATGATACGCTCACCAGACTCATGAAGAGGAAGAATGTTGTGAGTATTTATCTTATAAATATGTACAAAAAATTATGACACATGAAATGGCATTTTTATCCCCAAAAAATCAATAAAATTACATATTCTCAATGAGCTTAAACAACCAAGATATTTTTTAATCTTTACTTATTTTTTCACAGCCTGCACCAGAACAAATAATTGGAAAAGAAAAGAAAAGAAAAAAGTTGGATGAAATTGTACTCGGTTTGTCTGCAGCGAAAGGTCAAAGTACAACTCCTTCTGCTTCACATGATCCAACACGCAATAAAAACTCTTCAATTTTACCCGAAGTAACAGTAACGCCAGCAGCGCCACCGAACACCTCTAGTATTCCTTTATCACAGAAACCGTTTTCTGTGACTGTTACCAATGTTCCGTCTCCTCACGCATCCTCCAAAGAACTTTCTTCATTTTTACAACAGTCTCTAGAACAGACGAAAAACTCAAAAACAACTTCACCAATACCTATAAAATCATATTCACATGAAGCTAAAGTTAACAAATGGTTGGCTGAACAACAAGCGAGTGCCGATTCTCGAAGACGCGGTATACCGCCACGACTCGCACCTGATGAGCATGTGCCAGTAGTTCACCGTGTAACTGGGAAAAGAATAATTGGCCACAAAGCCCCACAGTTAAAACATTTAGCACAATGGATTGCAGAAAATCCAATGTATGATATAGACTCCAAATGGACAGAAGGTATAAAAGAACATGTAAAATTACCTCAAGATGTGAGAAACCAAAGACATTCTCCAATGCAGTCAACAAGTTCTTTAGGTGAGCGCAAAAAAGGGAGACCACCAACTTTGGACACACCATCATCAAATCCTCACCTAAATCAAAATATGGCTGGTTTAAATCCAGCACTTTTAGCTAGTTTATCTAGTTTAAGTGCGTTTGACCCGAAAACACTAGCTGCAACATTATCCAATTTAACAGGATTTGATCCAAAACTACTTTCAAGCCTCAGTAGTTTTGATCCTAAAAATAATCCATTGCTCAACTCTTTTAGTAGTATGCCTAATTTGTTGGGAAATATAACTGGAGGTAATATATTCACAAATTTGGCGGGTTTAGGACTTCCTGGGTTCTCTTCTCTTGATATGAATAATCTGAGCGGAGCGAATGCTTCAGGAGATAAGACAAAAACTAGAAAACCAGCTGAAACTAATAGTGCTTCAACTTCAAAAGCTGGAAACTCCCAGTTCCCTTTTGTATTTCCTAATCCGAATATGCTTTATCCTCAGTTAGGCTTAGGCGGCTTGTCGCCTTTTGGAGTGCACTCTGGCATGTCATCAGCCTATGATGCTTTAGGACTTTTAAGTAGCAATTTGGCAGCTAGCTCAAGTGCAACTACGCTGCATAGTTCGAGTCATAACTCTCGAACGAGTACAAAAACAACAACGCCGAGATCATCCACTGTAGTTACTAACTCAACATCACGTCAGCAAAAAATTTCAGACCGTCAGCAGTCAAGTCATTTGCCCCAAATATTACTTCCTCCTGATCCTTACCTTCTTGAAACGTTGTCAAAGCAATCCTTAAATTATGATACTGCTTTAAAAGCCGATTCTAAAAGAACACGCGATAACGACATTTCTGAAAATACAGCTACTGACTTATCTAAAACAGATAAAAAAAAAGGACCATATGATGCATTAAGATCACATGTTCCTCCGGAGTTTGCTGCTGTTCAGGAAAAACTTTTAAAAGGCGACAAGAAGGATATAGATATTAGTAAAATGCTTTTAGAACAAATGGCATCTGGAGCTTTAAGCGCAAGTTTAGTTAGTTCTGCCGAAGCTAAGAAAAATAAAGACAATGAAAAAGAATTATCTGATAAGGGTAAAGCCACAGCCGAATATTTAGCTAGACTATCAAATGATGAATGTGTCACAAATCTAACTATGGCCCATAAAAGGACACTTGAAGAGATTAACAATGAGCCTGAAAATTTAGCATTACAATCTTCTGCTAAAAAAACTAAAGAAAATCCTACTTCAGACATAGTTACTAACGTCGACAAACAATCCGATCATTCTGCACACACAGGGGAAATGGACCTTGAAGATTTAATTGCCCCATCAACGGTCATCAAAACTGGTATGAAAGCCAGTGATTTCGAAATTAACAAAATGTGTGAATCTTCGTCACAATTATTGCCCGTAGGTGCAGAAAAAGAGGAGAAACCACATTTAAAGCACATTGGTACTTGTAATGACAATAATGATATTGAAAGGTGTAACGACAATTTAATACTTGATTGCACAAATAATTTAACAGACGCAGATAAAAAGAATGAAGCAGGAAATGATGAAAGTAATTCTGATGTGCATTCAAATGACAGCATTCGAAAAGGAAACAGGAAAAAAGGCCGAAAATCTTCTGAAGAAAATTTTATATCGGGCCCACGTCGTGAACTACGGTCAAGTGCTGGCAGACTGTCAACAGATGGTTCAAATCATTGACACTTTGTAATATCGAATTTTAATATATTATGAAAATAAGAAAGGCCTAATGCGTCTGTTCCAAAACAAAAATTGCGTCAGCATGACTGGATAGTTTTATTATAATTTTGAAGTAACAACAACATTTAAAACACTCAAATAACAACTATAAATAATGACAGGAACTCTGAATCATTTATCGTATATTTTAATTTGATATAAGCATAATGTACCTTATTTTATGAGGAAAAACATCACAACATATTCTAGCTATGCTTAACACGATTCAATTATGTGTATGTATTTTTATATATATTGTGCATCCTGCTATACTTTAAATGAAAATAATAAAATATTCTAGATTTCATTGATGTAGTCATAATGTGTATGTAGTCAAATGCTAATATTTTATTTCTACTTGAATCTAATATAATTTCAGCTGACAATAGGTTATAAAAAAATATTAAATCCTTAAACTGCACCATTGCATAAATGAAATCAAAATGCGAGTGGTCTTTATTATACATTTACATTTTTTATTTATTGTGTGTCATGAATCAGATCATAAGACTTAGCATAGCTGTAACGATGTAGCAGTTTTGTTATTAAAACCCTTATGTTAATAATATTAGAAGACTGGATACTCCACATGCAGATTAATCCTATACAATGTGTTAATATAAGAATTTATTTATCTAAGTATTTTACAATAGTTTCAATTTACGCTTCGAATAAAAGAAATTTTACGTCGCCGGCAGACATTTTTAAAGTGATTTTTATTTGTGGTTCATGCATTATATAGGTCAAATTAATTACTTCACATCGAGATCTCCCACAACTATATGGATTATAACAAAATTGGGGTTAGGTCTAGTTTTACCTCTTGTACGTTCTTACATTTAGATGTAAGTTTATTTTTAAGAAATAACGACGCGCTGTAATTTTACACAAAATTCAGATTAATTTCAATATAATTCTATTCACTAAGAGTTATCATAACGAAGTTTGGTTTTATTTTTGTGAATTTCAACTTGTTCATTTAAAACTATGTGAAAAGAGTTAAATAAAACACTGAATGTGATAAAAATATTTATTACAACATGTATTCTTATTACTTTGCATTGCATTACTGTATTGATAAATATTGTATTGTAGATAATAATAATTGTGACAAATCATGAATAAAAAATATTAAAAAGAATAACATTGGGAATTTTTAATGACCACACAGAAGGTTGATTAGTAACATTAAACAATTATAATTTTATCGTTGTATAAGTAGTGCCTCATTTCTAGATATGTATGTGTATCGCAATTCCGTTATTTTTGTTTATATTAGCGACTGTACAAAATATATCAAGTAGAATTCGTACAAAGTTGACTACATTGAAACGAAAATCGAAAAATCAAATAATTTTTTTTTATAGAATATGGGTGACAAACAAGCACACAGTGCACCTGATGGTAAGTGGATGCTGTGGCCTATAGACATCTACACTTATTCTCGCTAAGAATTACAACGCAGATACGTTGTCACCCCCAAGGACTAAATGGAATGCCTCGTTTCCAGTAAAAAACTACACTCACTATACAAAACAGTATTAAGCTGCTATTTTACGTTGGTATTCTGTGAGAGCGTCCTTTCCCGGTTGAGTTAACCCATTCGTGCCACAAACATTATAATATAGCTGCAGCGTGGCTCTACCGTGTATAAAACTAAAAATAATATAAACGCCTGGTGCCTCAATCTCTGAGTATTAAACCAACGGAGACTGCATACCCCTCTGTAAATGGTGCGAGAGTCCAACTCATAGCCGTTATATAATACTAGTTGCACCGCGTTATTCGCCATTACGCAAGCAAGTGATCGTGCCAGTCAATTGAGCTCCGACAAAAATACCGAATTGCACTGTATTTTCATGCAAAAAACAAAGCCGTCAAATCTACAAAAGGACAACGTGACTTTTCCATCTGTGAATACTGTTGCGCGCCATACTGGATGGCACTAGCACCATCTGGTATCAAGTATCAGAAATATGAGTGTCGAGATCTTTCCGGAACTCTCCCAACAGCGCCATTTAGTGGTGGGTAGAAGAATTAAGCAGAATAAAGAAGAATTAGAATTAATTAAGGGACCGGTATTTGCTGGAACGTTCTGGATGTTTCGGTGGAAAAGTTGTATTTAAAGCCGCTGCAAGCCGCGATCGGGGCAGTATTGAATTTGGCGATACAAGCGAAGCTTCGGAGCGAAATAAAGTGAATCAGTGTGATTAATTATTAGTGTCTTAAGTTTTATGTGGTGTTCGGTAATAAAAGTGTAAATTTAGGTAATTCAATCGGTAGTTTTTATTGTCACGAACCTCAAGCTCGTAACAATACTTCCAACATAATATTATCCTTAAAACTCGTATTTTCTGAATATTTTCGTAAAATACCAAGTATTGCCAGCATAGTTCCTGAAGTAAAAAATAAGCGATTTTAAAAATAAATATAGGTAACTTATTACACAAAATAAATATGAACCACAATTTATTTTATATCAACTAAATCAGTTTGTGATGAATAATAATAATCATTAAAATAAGATGTGTAGTGGATTTTGTCAAATGATTCAAGTATTCAGGTCAATCCCAACACGATAGTCTTTATCAAAATATACAAAATAAAGGCCAAATAAGTCGAATCGAAACTTGCCACTTCGTAGCAAACGTAAAGTTACAGCCTATATACTCGCCCCACTGCTGGGCACAGGCCTCTCCTCATTTCTGAGAGGGTTTTAGGGCACGGAAGTGTCCGCCGCGCAGCCCCAATGCGTGTTGGCGAACTTCACGTCTTCGAAATATAGGAGAGATCGGGTAGGACCCGAAGCGAACGGTCGATCTGTTATGTCGTCCTCAAAAAATTAAATAAATTTTTGCAAATGAAGGTGAATGTTAATAACTTCTTGCAAAACAAAACAAATAACGAGTGTATCCAGTATCTCAAATGAATTTAGTCCGGAATATAACACTTAAATTCACCAAAATACATACAAAAAGACGTGGGATCAAATCCACGATATATTCAACTTATTTTTTCTTCTTTCTTCTTCTTTTCAACAATTTACATAGAATAAACCAAAGGAAACAGAAGAGCAGTAGGTACACATAAAAAGAGAGTATATATATATATATATATATATATATATATTACACATTAGTGCAGCACCAAATCCTTATTATAGGAATATAGATTGTAGGAAAGTAAGCATATTTAAGATGAATACAAGCTATAGCAACATAACATTCAGGCGCATCATCATCATCATTACAGCCCTTTACAAGTCCACTGCTGAACATAGGCCTCCCCCAAGGTATGCCACAAAGCACGGTCTTGAGCCATCTGCATCCATCGACTTCCTGCATGTCTTACCAGGTCGTCACTTCATCTAGTGGGGGGTCGCCCTACACTTCGTCTACCGGTACGAGGCTGCCACTCGTGAACCTTTTTTCCCCAACGGTTGTCGGTTCTTCGAGCTATATGGCCGGCCCATTGTCACTTCAGCTTACTAATCCGTTGGGTTATGTCGGTCACTCTGGTTCTACTGCGGATATCCTCATTTCTAAGTTTATCACGCAGAGAAACACCGAACATAACCCTCTCCATAGCTCGCTGAGCGACTTTGAGCGTCCTCATACGGCCAGCAGTGAAAGAACACGTCAGTAGTTACGTTGTACCAGTTCTGGCTCACTGAGTCAGAAGTGGTACAAGTACGACGTTCGTCGACTCACGATCCTAAAAAAAAAAAAGGTTTTGGCATGCTCTGATCACGAATCTGCGGTCCATTTTTGCGTAGGATGCACGGTTCCGGAGATGTGCAGATCAATTAACTCTTATCTAATTGATATCCGGTGCGGGCCTCCACCGTCATTAGAACCCCATTGTTCTTATCTACTTATCTATTGTTCATTGAATACCGTCATTATCTATTCTTCCTCGCGTGGTTCTATTGTATTATACTCCTTTGTTCCCATCTACACCAATCTGAATCATCAATAAAACACATTACCTAATTTTGTTAAAATTTTTATTTACAAAATACAAAATCTTATTATCTATAAAATAGGAGCGAAACATTTCATCCACTAAAATATCGTTGTACAATGTGTTCCCTCTAAATATACTCGTAAAACTATGCATTGAACATCCCTGAAACTTATATAGCTAATACATTAAGCAATATTTGCCACAAACTGAAGTCCACTCATTCTGAATCCTATCAATATTCCAGTTCCATCTTTTACAATTCCTTTTTAAAAACTCTAGATATCGTTTCACGCGCCACCAGCCAATCTTGTGTGCTCTTCGCTCTATGAGCTGACGCCGAATCTTGTTGGAATACCCAGTGCCTGTTATTGAACATGGTATGAGAAACAAGTTACACAAGGTTCGTCAGGACTGTATTTTAATACACAACTGCATTCGTTTTTACACCTTTCTCACAAAAATGTACCTCTGTTAAGCCCCAATAAGAAACTCCCAACCATACCATGAGCGAGGATGGAAAATGACCCCGTTGGACACGCGGAATACGGTTGCTCGCTTCTTCACTACTGTGTGCGTACACCTTATCATTTTGTTTGTTGTAGCTCTCTTCTACAGTAAAAAATTTTTCATCCGAAAAAAGAATTTCTCGATATTTTTTTTCCGCGTATCGCTTCAACAAAGCGCGGCATCTCTTCAGTCTCAGGTCCATTAGACGAGCATTCAAACGATGTCCTGTTTTTCTTCTATATGCCCGAAGCCCTAAGTCTTCATTTAACACCCTTTTCACCGTGGTTCTGCTTAACCCCATCTGAAGGGCCAACAGTTTCTGCTTGCGTTTGGGATTTATTTGAATTCGCGCCTTTACAGCTTTTATCACTGTTGGAGTCCTAACAAATCGAGGGCGACCACTTCTTGACCTGTCATCTACACTAGAGTCTTCATTGTATCGTTTGATGGTACGATAAACGAATCTTTTGGTTATATTCAAATTTTTC